CACAAATATATTACATTGAAGACCTGGGGATATTTAAATCCCTTTCCAGTTCATCTTAGGCCATCTGGCTTTTTTTCCACCTTACCAGCTGTCTTATTTGTTTGTCATACTTCATATTGACAAATAAGTTGAAACATGTTCAAAATTTGAATATTGTGAAAGAAGAGTCTAATAACTCTACAAATTCAACAACTGATCGTTCAGTATTCTAATTGTCAGGTTTCAATATCAACTTACTTGTTTAGAACTAATGTAATAAGATAGTTTTGTTCTTGAAAGATTATTAATGTAATTTACTGTAATTTTGAGCCATTTTTGCTTAATAAGGCATTATAAATATTTGACAGAAAATGATAAACATATGAATTTTTGTATAAGCAATATGCATTTGCCACAAATCATTTTATTACTATCCATAAATTGTCAAATAATCATTTCGAAAATGAGTCATAATGTCTCATTGAAAATCTTACAAGAGAATGATAATTATGTAATTGGAAAGGTATTTGTACATTTTCCAGAAATGACAAAGTTGCTACCTCTTCAATATGAGAATTGTAAATATAAAGAGTATGAAAAATTTTGTAAAAGTTTCAAATATGATTCATTCTATAATGGTGCAATGATATGTCCACAAGATTATGGTTCAATAATAATGCATTATTCAAGAATTAAAGTTTCAATTGGATGTTGCACATTGTAAGATTTAAACATATAGAAAATTATATGTAAGCATACATCAACATCAATTCATAACAAAAAATTCAATTAATATTTACCAAAGATGTTTTCTTACATATAGATTTTGGGATTGGGATAAAACATCCTAACAATGGAGAGAACTTTGCCAACTGATAAGATAAGGTTAGGGTTAAAATCTCAATATTGGGATGTTTTTTCCCATACCTATAGATTCCTATTGTGGTAAACCTGGAAAGTTTTAATTGTTAATTAAAAATTCTTAAATTATCTTAATCGATGATCTCTCTTCCACTTTACCCAAGTTACATAGCAACTTTAGAGGAGGTTATGAGGGGACAATAAGAGATATTAAGCTTGAAAGACTTGAAGCTTGATGATGTATATGATTTTACCTTAGCCCTGGCCCAGTTACACACCTAATTCCAGTCATCATTAGTTTAAACTCATAGCTTTAATCATTATCCTAACTCATTCAAAGACAAAAGTCTTAAGGCAGAGTCACTCCAGAATGAAATTTTTCAACAGTCCAAAATATTAAAACTTTCCAGGTGAAAGTAGTAAAAAATAATTAAAATTAATATCAACAATCCTTCATTTTTGCAACAACAAAGCAAAATGACTTTAAATACTGTAAAGAAGAAAATTTTTGCAACTTGTATCAAATGTTTTAAAACTTCTAAGGCTTGTGAGTAGTTTTAGAAGAAGAAAATATTGAAATTTGAATAATTAATCATACCATTTCATTTTTTTACTACTTAATTAGATATTTATCTTCAAATAATTTCCACAAATAATCTAGCTCTTGCACTTTTAAGAATAAATGATGAAAGTTTTGCAATAGTGAAACAAAATGAATACGACAGAAGTCGCCCAGGGCAGAAGTCGCCCAGGACAGAAGTCGCCCAGACATTGATAGAAGTCGCCCAGAGCTGTGACAGAAGTCGCCCAGAAGTGTGATAGAAGTCACCCAGGACTATGACAGAAGTCGCCCAGAAGTGTACTAGAAGTTTACAGTATGCTTAATAAAATGCAAAATATATGAAAATAATTTATGAAGTAGTTTGTATTTATTATTTGTAATCTCTGAGTGATAATGAAAGAAATTGTTTTACCAGTTTTTTTTGTAGAGTAATGTTTTACCACTTGATTTGTTGTGAAAATTGAATTGTTAGCTATTCGAATTAAGTGATTTTCTGCATTGTAATCCTTCAAAAGTAACAATTGTTTTGATAAAAATATTAGTCTCTTTAAAATCATGTATATATCTTACAATTTTTTTTTAATTCTCATGATCTTTGACATAACAGGTATTTGAAAGAAATTTATCAACATGGCAAAATTCTGCTTTGAATGTAGAAAAAAAATTAATAAACTAAAACAAGGAACATGTTCTCATTGTTCTCACAAACTTCATTGGACATGCTTATCAGGTTAGATTTTTCATATTTAAATCTTAATGTTTATGTTTAATTTTGTTAGATGGATTATGCTCCATTTGCTCATCTATTCAAATCAGAAGTTTGAAAATTGTTTTGAGAAGGTGTGATAATAGTTGTACAATCAAAGATGCAACTAAAGAATCTACTATTGAGGGAAATATTAAAGAGCCAATAAAAAATGCTGTAGAGAAAGATAAGACATTAGCAAACATTACGGTTACTTCTATGGATGTTGATCATGAACAAGTTGTTTCTCATTTCTCAGCAGATGCTATTGAAGCAAATGAGCTACCTTTAAAAGACATGAACACAGATGAAATCAACTGTGCTGCATCAACTATGGAGGCAACTTTGGATGATGAGAGAATACCAACTGTTGAAGATGTTGAGGATTCCTTTGAAAGTTTACCAGAGGAGATTGATGAGGCAGATGGTCATTTCAAAGTATTTGAAAATGGAAGTCAAAGAGAAAAAAAGTTGCTTGTACACAATAATAATTCTTTTACTATAAAAGGACAGTACAAAAGTAGTACTATTTGGATATGTAGTGTCAGGAACAAGAAAATCAGATGCCCTGCCAGTATAATTCAAAGAGGTAGCAATTTTCACTTAGGTTCTAAATCACACATTCATCCACCTAAAAAAAACTTAGAGCAAAACATTGAAATTAAACTGACAGCAAAACAAAGTGGAAAATGTAATATTAATGTAAGTGGAAAAAGATTAGCTGAAAATGCTATACTCCCATATGCAAATATGGGCAATATCTTGAAGGTAGATACTTGTAAAGAAATGATTAATTACCATAGAAGAAAAACTCAGCCTACTGAACCTATTGGAAGAAATTTTCTTTTAAATAATACTTTCATACCAGATGATTTTTTAAGAAAAGATATTTTTGAAAATGGTGAAAGAATCATTATTTTCTCCACATTGAAGCAACTCAATCTGCTTTCAGTTTCAAAAATTTGGTATGTGGATGGAACTTTTAGCATTGTAAAACAACCTTTCAAACAGCTGTTTTCTATTCATTCATTTTTGAAGAAAGAGGGAGCATTAAAACAAGTTCCTCTACTCTTTGCTTTTATGACATCAAAGAAGAAAAAAGCATACAATATTTTGTTTAGGGTAAGGGTATTTATAAAAATACAATTTTTTCAAAGTAAATAACATTTTATTAACAGACACTAAATGAACTTTTGGAATACAAAACACCAAAGAAAATTGTTCTGGACTATGAAAGAGCAGTATGGAAAGCTGCATTAGACAATTGGGAAAGTGTTACACTAACAGGCTGTTTATTCCATTGGAATCAAGCTGTTTACAGAAAAATTCAGGTGAAAATTTTTAGATCAAAGTAAGAAACTTCCACTTATTGAGAGCATGAGAAGAACAGCAGACAGATACAAAGGAAAATTGAGACCTAGCTATCCAGCTGATCTTTCATTTACTTTGAACAATGATTTTGTTCCTGAAAATTTTTCAATAAAGGATATTAAAAAGGATGATGCAAGATATATCATTTTTGGTAATAATCATCAAATCGAATTGTTGAAAAAAGCAAAAATATTATTTATGGATGGAACCTTCAAAGTGATTTCAGAACCATTTCAACAGCTTTTCACAGTTCATGCATTCATAAAGAAAAATGGAAATTATAAGCAAGTTCCTCTAGTTTATGCTTTTACGAGCCAAAGAAAGAAAAAATCTTATAAAGCTGTTTTTAAGGTAAATATATATATCACATTTTCATGAATTACACTACATATATTTTAGGTGTTAGCTGATATTTTAGATGGTCATCAACCAAAAAAAATAGTAGTTGACTTTGAGGCAGCCTTATTGAAGAAATGTTTCCAACAACAACGATTCAAGGATGTGTTTATGCTTATAAAAGTCAGTTTCATAGCTTTGAAATTTGTTTTCACTTATTTATTATTGCTTAGTTGAATGCGCTGAAAATAATGCTTCTCATCAAAAAAGAATAAATATTGAACAATACAGACATAAAAGTCTTATTCAATGCTTTTGCAGTAGACAACTCAATAGAGGACAGGCTTGGTTAAAAATTTGTCAAGTCCAATAATAAGAGTAGTCATGAAGTATTCAAAAAGAATAATTTTTAGTCAGATCTCTCATTTAAAATTATTCCACCAGTATCTTTACTGATAAGGAAGGGATTTAGAACACAGATGTTCAAGTTACCATCTGTCATCATATGCTATATGATGTATATATTGAAAATTAAATCGGTTGGATCATTAGGTAAGTATAGTAGAATTTAAGGTCATGTCTTTCTCTCTACAAATAAATCACTTCCAGGTGGAAAGCTTGTAAATATTGCCAATGTGAGACATGATGCAAGTTGTTCAGCATCATCAGAATTTCCCAAATTTGATGACTTTACCTTTCTATGTGAGAATGCTCTAGAAGAAAGATGGCAAAATGATTTGAATTGGGTAACTACATGTGCGGGTCACTCTTGCTTGGATCAGTGGATTGAAATTAAATTTAAACAAGAATACGATATTATAGACATGTGCCTAAATCAACGAGTCAATGAAAATGAGAAAAAGCTTACAATGATAGAGATTAAATTTGATAATAGATCAATGATTGTTAATTTATATCAATATGAAACATGCATCTTACCATTGAACGGTATTGGAGAAGGCACTTACAGTTTAAAAATTCAACCCAGTCAACTGACTAGTCAAGTGGTAAATATTGGATTTCAGTCAATACTTGTATATGCCTATGATAGTAAGTAACTACTAAGTAATAGTTCAAAAGTGATTTTTCATATTTTCATTGAATCTTCATAGAAGAATCAACTGTTGAGGATACAACTTATGCAAATGTAGCTTTTCATAGTTTAGGAGCTTCTTGTACTGCGTCTCGCGGTCAATGCTTAATGGCAATCAATCAAAATGTAAACAAATTTTGGGCACCGCAATGCTACTCAGATGATGATGGTGATCAATGTCGAGGACAATTTATACAAGTTACACTTGCATTTCCTGTAAAGCCAGACTTTTTTTGCGTTTCTAACCCGTAATCAGGCCTAGAATATCGTTCTTTCAAAAATGCATCAACTAATTCCAGTTTCTAATTCCGATAGGGGAAGAAGCCACAACGGAAGAATAAAATCTCTGTTAGTAGAATGGAGCTCTGGCTATAAAAATGTAATTCAACTTTGGAATAATGGAAAGAGGCACTGTTTCAATTACACCGGAAATGCCAATTTTGAACAATGGATTAAACTGACTATTTTAGAGTACTATTCAGCCAATAAAGTTGGTTTAAATACGATAGATGTTTTCGTAAAAAGTAGTATTGACGAAAAGATTTATAGTATTCAACATTCGGAGTATTCTTCTTTGTCAATGCCCAAATTTATCTAACAATTTCACTATGTTAAGTTTCCAAGTGAAAGGTCAAATTAGGGGTGACGTAAATGATTGTTCCTCTCTCTCTCTGCATTTTAAGAATAGTAAAAAGTCATATCTTGTACTAAAGCTAGATTTTAAAGGGGATAATCAACAGGAAGTTTCGTCAATCACTCTGCAAGATTCTCTCGAAAATGAGCTACTATTCAATATTTCGCAATCATTGATTGATTGCGATAAATGGAATTATTTCTGGTTTGAATTTGCAATTGGACAAGTTAAATTTGGTTTTCAAAAGCCAACTGCTACTTCGTTGGATTACATTTCCCTTCAAATGGATTATTTTATACATGTAGATTCAATTCTCTTTAGAAATTATTATCAACATTTGAGCAATGATATTAAAATTAATCATAAAGGTTTATCCCTTCTTCTTCTCCTACTCCTCGTGTATTGAAATTTCCATTCTTTACTCATTTCAGGTGGCAGAAGGATTTCTATCCTTGACACTACTCATTATCAATTTTGCGCAATTTATAATTTCTTTGACGAATATATCTACACCTGTATTCCCTTAAAATCCAAATTATCCTACTTCGAATTCCAATTCGAGGACAACGACCAAATAAAGATAAATCTCTTAAATCCAAAGATCTTTATTAGTAAGAAATTTTCCACTAATGAAACTACTCTGAAAACGTTTGAGCATTCTTTTGGAGGAGAAGATGTAATCATTTTTCAAAGTTATTGCATAGCTGATTTGAATGGCACAACTTTTAAAACAATAACATTTCTCTGTAAAACATTTAATGATATTCAAAGGAAAATTATTTTACTTGAAGCTATGTTTAAAAAGTTTAAAAATTTAAATGAAAAGTTATCATGTGAATTGTATTTCTCAAATTTATAATTCAAAAGTTTCATTCACCTAAACTTCTTCAAATGAATTTGAAATTGTATTAGAATTATTTGCTTCAAATTTCTTCACTGCTTTTCAAATATTGTATTAAACATTGTAAATTTACAGTTTATGGAAGACAGAAGAGAAAATTTTATTTGCTATGTAATCAGAAAGGAGATGACTGCAGAGATCTGAGAAAGTTGATGGCTTTACCTTTTTTACCTTCAGATATTATCTCTCCAACATTTTTTAGCTTGAAGTGTCAACTGCAAGAAAAGAGAAAATTTTCAAATTTGCTGCAATATTTTGAAAGTACTTGGATTTTTCACTGTGGAAAATGCAAGATAATTTTCAACAACAAGCGTCAACCTAGAAATATATTTTTCAGGTTCACTTTCTCCAATTTCAATTAGTTCAAAATGGATTGCCCCCACCTACTACCTCCCCCTCCCTCTCTTCCAAATTCCTCTTAATATCTCTAATCCAGGTGGAAGGAAACTTAATAATATTTTCAGAAAATGATCAACAATAGAAAGAACAATAATTTCTTATTTTGATTTGTTAGGCCTATTTTTCCTATTGTATTGTTTGTAATAAGTATGAATAAGATGTAATGTTTATATTATTTAAGATAATAATATAAAGTAGAAAAATATCAAGTTTGTATTTTTTTAATTTAATTAAGCCATGTTGTTTTTTAAAAAAAAGAAAAACGTTTGTCATTTAGATGTACACATTCACAGGGGAGAAATTTATAAAACATGATCCAATGCATATTTCTCTTAATGTTTTTATTTCAAACTTCTAAACAAGTGGAAAATTTAATTTTTGAAAAACATGAAGAAAATGATAATTCTTATAAATGTTTTATATTTGGAAAAAGAAATAATGGACAGATATATCGGATTGTTTATGATGAAAAGACTCAAATATTTTTTGAACATTATAAGTTTATTTACTGTAAAGAAAATGGATTTGACCCTTTATTGGCAAAAATCAAATTTACAATAGATGGTAGTATTAAAGGTGGAACAAAACTTATCAATAGTACTCCATGTTGCAAATTGTAAGTATAAGTTTGGATAGATTGTTAGCATAGCATGATAACAAAGAGCCTTTTTGTGCATATGGATAAGATATCTAAAATGAATCTATAATTGAAAATTGAGGAAGAGGGCTAGTTGGCCTGTATCCTTAATGTACTTCTCTAAATCGTTTTTTTTTCAGTAAAGGATATGAAATGATAAGATATCGTTTACTTTTGGAATGTATAAAGAACAATTCATCAGGTAAACAAATTAGAATTGAGAAAAAAAATGAAAGAAATTCTTTATTACTCAATTTTAACCTTTTAGTTTTATTTGCAATGAAAGAAGGAATTTCCAAATATTTATTAATAATAAACCATAAAAATGACTACTTTTACATTTCTTCCAATTTGAATGATGATAGAAAAAGTTTTTGTAAAAAAGTCAACTTTGTAGTAGAAGATCAAAAAAGTATTTTACAAAATGATTCTATTATTAAATTAATAATAAAAGGAAAAGATGAACTAATTATAAATAGAACAAAATACTATAAAACTCAAAGTAGAGTTTATTGTTCTTTTCAAGAAATTGATGGTATAATTATTACATATTCTCCTCTTCTCCTTTCAAGATTTCTCTTGTTTAACTTTCTTCCAGATATTGAGATTACAAAAGAAGTGTTTGCCAGTGATATGTACTCTATTTCTCAACCAATTTCCAAAATATTTAAGCAATCAACAATTATCAAATCAAAAATTTATGGATATAGAATTCTTGTGTTTACAAAAACTGGATTATACAATTTTGAAATGTATAATTTCCTTTGTTCTATAGAGTCTAAAGTATTTGGACCATATTTCAAAGAATCCCAAAAATTTGTTATAAACTCTGAGAGTGTAAGATTAGATTAGAAAATATAACAAAAAAAAAATATTTTTCTTATTATTAGACTCTTTTTCTGGTGATTACAACAGTTTCTACTGGAAAGAATATTTTACCCATTTTTCATGCTTTAACTTATCCATACCCTTCTAAAAACTTTGTTTATATTGAAAATGGCTTTAAATTTTGTCATAACACTACAATTGATTCAAGTTCATTTTTTAATACTTTTTTTTAATCTAAATATTACATTTTGCATAAATTTCTAGATAAAAAATTCTTCTTTTTGGATAAAAATAGCAATATACTCAATTTTAAATACAATCATACACTAACTGAATTTTCTGGTAAAGTTGTCATTTTTATGAGAAATATGTTTTTTATTATAAAAATTTTAACACTAAAAATTTGTCAATTAATTTGCAAATATTTTGGATTTAAATCTGGAGAAATTTCAAATATATCACAAAAAAGTCTCTTTCAAGATTATGATAATCCATCAAGAGTTACTTCATTTTTATCTCATTTTGAATGTGATGATAACAGTAGTAACATAATTGAAAATTGTAAAATTATAACTGAATTGTATAAAACAACAAAAAAACTTGTTTCAATTTCAATTCAACAATTGACTATTCTTTTTTTGTTTTTAACTAGAAATATTAATCAGATTCCATCTCAATTTGGAGGAATAGAATTAAGTTGTAGAAATTCAAAACTTGAAAGTTAGAATTTTAAAAACAGTTAATGTTTTTTTTTATTATAAAGATTTGTGATATGTGTTTTGTTTGTTTGTTGTTTTTTTTCATCTAAATAGTTGAAGATTGTATGGAAAATAATTCATTTTTATTTGAAAATACATGCTTTAAATTGTATTTGATGAAAACTCCTACACCAATAGAAGAATTTGAAAAATTTTGCTCAGTTAAAAACATGACACTGATTGATTTCCCTACAAATCAACAAATTTTTCTAACATACTATTTACAAATTTTTGGCCATTTTATACTAAATGAGAAAAAGTTGAAAATGTTCTCTTCAAGTACAAAAACAAAATATATTTTTACAAGTTAGACATTTATTTAAGAAATAGACAAGATTTCTTTACAAAAAAAAAACAATTAGAATTAAAACAGAAATATCATAAGAAAAGAAAAATTACAGTCACAACAAGCAATTACCAGTTTTCATTGCTTGGAATATTTGATAAAATTTCACAAAGAAATAGCATGATTACCTATGGAGAACTTGAGAAAGAGGCTAACAATTTTAAAAAAATTTCAAGATACAAATTACTAGATGAATGTTTTTCTTTAGCAGTTTCCTTAGCAAAGTAAAATGGTATTTTTTCTATTTTTCTAATTTTGTAAATATAATTTTTTCTTCATTAAGAAATGAAATACAAAATATGCTATTACAACCAATTTCTTGTAAATCCAAACAAAACTTGATAGTTTGCCAGAAACAATATTTATTAAGTATATTAATAAAGTGTTACATTGGTGTAAAATGTCAACATTTTCAAAATTAGACCAACACTTTTGATATCTGAACAGAGAATTACAATTTCCATGGATTTTTTCATATAAGAAATGAGAAATTTAATTGTTCTGAAAGAATGTTTTTCTGTAAATTGAGTAAAATTTGCATCAATTATGTCTACGTTTGCGATGGAATAAATGATTGCATCTCTAATGAAGACGAAATTGATTGTGATCATAATAAATTCAATTATGTTCAATGTTTAACAAATAATGAAATGATTAGCTATTCTTTACTTTGTGACTTTGTTTATGATTGTTCTGATCAATCAGATGAAAGGTTTTGTTGTGAGAATATTTTTTTCTTTAATTAAACA